TTTTAAACGGTTGAATTCGTGATAGAAAGGCTGTCTTACCGTCTAGCTGTAAATAGTTAAAATTGATTTAGTTAAGAATAGTTTACAAAATTACTAATTTTAAAATAGAACACTTTTAACGGTTTGAAAGCGAAATAGAGTAGTTGTCTTATTTTAAATTACTCTACGGCCCGATATCGAATAATATTATCTCAGAGCAATGTGAAAATAAGTACTATTAAATAAAACATTGTTAATGGTTTTAAACGTGGAAGATGTGGTGTTTAAATTAAAACCGTTTAAATTGATTAAGTTAATGTGTAACAACGAAGTACAGTTTTTTTATACATATATGTACGCGTATCTTTTACGAATGTACTGATTTTTAAATAAGCCAATTTCAACGGTTTAAAACGTGTTTAATATATATTTAGTGCAGTACTCGCGTACCAAGTATAGTAAATATACTTGATGGAAGACAAAATACCCCAGCAATATAAATTAAAAATCTATTTTTGATAGAAAAAAAATACGACACGGAGAGGAGTTGAACTGGCATCCATCGCGTTCCGTGCTGTTCCTCTAACTAATTGTTCTACAGCACAAAACTTTATTGTTAATGGAAATCTAAGTTATATACTGCCCTCATGTGCAAAATATTCGTTTTAAAACCCAACCTATGACATCTAAACAACCTATATTGATTTGACAGCTATTTTTTATCTGTGGACAATGATTCGTGCCACTAACGGAATTTCGATATTCCTACCATCCATTTAATATCCAGATTTCCAGACGAAGTCCAGCATGTTTCCGAAAAGTTTAACATTTATAAGGAACACGTTGTATTCTGTAAGAATCGAATTCACGACCCGTTGACTATTCGCCTTACATTGCCACCATTACCGAAGAAAAAAGAGCCAAAAATGTGTATATAAATTCTAAAATATAGCGGTGAAGAGTTTGTTTGTTTGCTTGAAAGTGCTAATCTAAGAAACTGCTGGTTTGATGCGTTGGCTATAACACATCGCTCTGTGACAAATATAAACTGGGCAACAGCTTAAATTTAAATACTGTATATAGTTTACGCGAGTAGTACACATTTAAATAAAACACTTTAACGGTTTAAAACGCGATATATTACCGTTTTGCAGCAGCCGTGGTCGCTGCTGCAAAGCATCCGATACGTCGGGCCGAAGTTAAAAATCATTTTCAAATAAGTTTAACTAATATATCGCGTTTTAAACCGTTAAAGTGTTTTATTTAAAAGCTTAAATTTATCAAGATGAAGAGGGTTCCAAAATCAAATTTATAAGAACGCGGACGAAGTCGCTGACAAAGCTTGTTCATTATATCATAGCCGGCGAAATGAATTAATTCGCACAGTACTGATACAAACGGTAGCGAAAATTATACATATTTAAACAAACGTTACGATGCCGATCTAGACATAAAAATAACATCGCTATGTTTTATCGACGCTTATATAAATTGTTCTTGAGATGTATTGTGTTGAAAAATATATCTTTATCGATTATTTTTTGAATGCAATGTTTAAAATGGTGGAACGGTTCGGTCACTATTACCCATTATGGAGCTGAAGAGTTTGTTTGTTTGAACGCGCTAGTCTCAAAAACTACTGGGTCGAATTGAAAAATTATTTTCGTGTTGGTTAGAGCATTTATCGAGGAAGTCCTTTGGCTATTTCGCACTACGAGAAATAGAAGCAAAGAGAGAAGCAGTGTCTATTTAAAAAAATAAGCGGACTTCCGTTACGCGCACTGCGAAAACGGTTCAGGATACCCAAATCTAATATATAAAATTCTCGTGTCACAGTTTTCGTTGCCATACTCCTCCGAAACTGAAAAACAACGTTTGCCGGGTCAGCTAGTATAAATATAAAAGATATATTCCTCTTTAAATGATCTAAAAAATATCTACGACACTGTATGTCTGCCTTTTGAGATCACCTAACAAAAACGTCATGACGCGAATGACGACTATAACACTATAAGTGATAAAGACGAAGAAATTTGCAAAATCAAATTTGGAAGCCTAAAATTATTCTACGAGGACGAAGTCACTGGTACAGCTAAGCTGAAAAATGTTGGACTCCGTCTGGAAACCTGGACATTAAATGGACGGTAGAAATGTCGAAATTCCGTCCGGTCCACAGACGAAAAATCCGTGAAGTTTAATCACGTTCCGGTCAGTCTGTCAGTCTGTGGATTTCGGAATATGTATAGCCAGAATCGATCGACAGCACAATATCTTGTGTTTTATGGTCGGAGTGTTACAACTCCCACCAAATACCTCATACTTGTCTGTTCATCGTTAAATACTGTCTATAGTTTACGCGAGTAGTACACATTTAAATAAAACACTTTAACGGTTCAAAACGCGATATATTAGTTAAACTTATTTGGAAATGATTTTTAACTTCGGCCCGACGTTTCGGATGATTTCCAAATAAGTTTAACTAATATATCGCGTTTTAAACCGTTAAAGTGTTTTATTTAAATGTTTATCGTTCTCAGCGTTACAGTGTTATGACATATGGCATACTACTGTGGGGTAACGCCGCCGACATTGTATCTTTATGTTGCAAAAAGGGCGGTCCGGGCTAGCTATGGTATGGGATCTCGGAAGTCATTAAGAGATACCTCTAAATCTCGGCATACTTACTGTGTACTCGCAGTATATTTATGAAAATGTATTGTATAAGCTTCCCTTTTTAGTCTCTACCTAGATACTAAAAAGGGAAGCTTAGATCCCCTTAAAGGGACGCCCGTTGCCACTTGTTCCACAAAATCCAGACAGATAAGGTCAAAAAACTGGGTAACCCAAAAATAGCATTTGGCATCCGTTCGCATGATTCACAGCACGTCGCCTAGTGTCTTCCTGGCCCTTGCTTATAAATAGCTGGACGTACACGTCCATCTATTTCCGTATTCCGAGGTATTTGGACACCTGTGGATTCTATACGCCTCTATACCGTATTGTTATTGAAGACTATAAAAATAGCAAAAGACGACTATTCATATAAAACACGTTGAACGGTTTAAAAACGCGAAATATATCAATCACCATTGTTGCGAAGCCTTCGAAACATCGACTGTAGTTAAAATGATTTTACTGCTTTAAGGACTTACATTATACTAGCTCTGTCAGCGACTTCGTCCGCGTATAATAGTTGTTTTGGGCAGTCAAATTTGTTTTTGTAAGCCCTTAAATCTTTATAATTATAAGGTGCCCACGACATCGGTCGCGTCCCGTCGTTCTTACAAGTTAATCTTAAAAGATAGACTTAAAGATATAGTATCTCGGACATTTTTTCAGATCATTTTAATAGAAGTCATTCTTTTAAATAAAAGACTAACGGTTTAAAACGCGATATGTTAGTTAAACTTATTTGCAAATGATTTTTAACGTCGGGCCGAAGTTAAAAATCATTTTATTAAATAAATCGCGTTTTAAACCGTTATTTTATTTAAATGTGTACTACTCGCGTAAACTATAGACAGAAGTCATTTTTTCATACTTATTTTTTGGCTGTGTTGAACCGTTTTCGACGCGTACGCATCTGAAACCCACAGAGATGAAAATTTTTCCCCGTTTTGTTCACATTCCTCGCTGGATCTTCGTTTCTAAAAGTCACAACGCGATGTTTTATAGCCTATAGCCTTCCTCGATAAAGACTCTAACCAACACAAAGTATTATTAAAATAAATAATAAATAAATTTTCATCTCAAATCCGTGGTTCCTGAGATTAGCGCGTTCAAACATACAAACAAACAAACTCTTCAGCTTTATATATTAGTATAGATTTATTGAAATATAATAGGTAAATTTTATTCTTCTTGTTAATATATTTCGCGTTTGAAACCGTAAAAAGTTTTATTTAAATCTTACATCCGTACATCAATCAACCTGGAGGAAATATAGATTTAGGGAGGTGTAAATGTATAAATATCTCCAGTCGCCCTAGTCTGAGTTCGCTAGTTTTAGTGGTCGTTATATTTACGTAAGTATTAGTTTGAAAGTTTAAGTGGTCTTTCATAATAGTATTTACTAGCTGTGTCGGCGACTTCGTTCGCGAATTGTTATTTTGGGCATCAAATTTGTCCTTTTGCAAAAAGATGACGGTCGCCGTCATTGCTAGTTAATTTTATAAGACATATAGTGTTCTGGACATTTTTTTGGATAATTTAAAGTGGAATCATTCTTTCATACATAGTTTAAGATATCTTGAACCGTTTTCGTAGCGCACGAAACGAAAACTCACGAACATAAATAATTTCATACTGTCTATAGTTTACGCGAGTAGTACACATTTAAATAAAACACTTTAACGGTTTAAAACGCGATATATTAGTTAAACTTATTTGGAAATTATTTTTAACTTCGGCCCGACGTTTCGGATGCTTTGCAGACTGACAGTCTCCCCGTGACCACGGCTGCTGCAAAGCATCATTTCCAAATAAGTTTATTTTATTTTATTTTATTTTATTCTTTTACAAAAAACTTACGGCTACTACAAATGAAAATACAAACAGTAAATAGGTACAGGAAGGCCAATTACAAGTTTTTACGTGTAATATACAATTATTAAAACTAAAGACGACAGACACTTTTATTATTTTATCTTTTTCTTATACGTAGGTATATATTTAACTGATATATCGCGTTTTAAACCGTTAAAGTGTTTTATTTAAATAAATAATTTCTCAGTTTTTTCCACATTTCCAGCTGTTTCTTCGCTCCCATTAGTTTCACGTCAATGTTTTATAGTCTATCCTTACCTTCAATACCATCCTCAATAACTGCTCTCATCATCACAAAGATAATTTTTGAATTCGAACCAGTAGTTCAAGGTAAGTAAGTTCAAACAAACAAACCCTTCAGTTTTATATAGAATAGAAGTTAAGGTTTTAAATAAAAATATATATATATATAATTGCAAACGAATATAATATACAATAGGGGAAATATATGTGTTTAATTAAAAACGTAACATGTATTAATAACGATTCTTCAACGGGCTTCCTTGAAGGGAAATCGTCGCAGGCGTCCTTATTTGACGGTTTCGGCAGATCAATGGACGTAGTATGTTAGACCAGATGTTGCCCAAAATACCGATGAGACCAATCACGGACAGGCCCAGGAGAAAACCCTGGGAAATAAGAAAATTTATATTGTACAAATGATACTAACGGAAGCGAAGACACAACGTACGATGGAAAGCAGAAACTGTTTTAAGTACTCAAAATCAAGGCAAAGACATATGGGATCTGACAAAATATAGATACACATTGAAAGATGGGTTACATAAAGCCCTCTATAGAGGGGGAATGGTGGGGGGGGGAATTGTTCCCTTCTATCAGTGTCTCCAACAGACAATAATCTACAATAATAATATTATAAAGCTGAAGAGTTTGTTTGAACGCGCTTATCTCAGGAACTACTGGTTACATTTGAAATCGATTGAATTTTTGTATCGAATAGAAAAAGTCGAGGAAGGCTTTATGCAATAAAACATCACGCTGCGACCAACGCGAAGTAACAGTGGGAATTGTGGAAAAAAGCGGAAAATTATTCAACTATGATGGCTTCCGTTGCGCGCGCTGCGAAAGCGGTTCAAGAAACCGAGAAATATATATAAACATGATTCATCCTTAAACGATCTAAAAAAAGTCTGCGATAGTAGGTGTGTATCTTTTGACATTAACTTGCAAGAACGACGGGACGCGGACGACGTTGGTAACAGCTAATAAATTATATCTCTAAATGTTATATACTTAAGCTATACCAGGCCTACTGCGATTATTGGAGACTATAGCTTAAAAGTTCCAGCTCATTTAATTTGGGCTAACTGCCAATAATCACTGGAGTATTGTTTGTTTAAAATAAATCGAGTATTCGAGTCAAATGGTCAAGATTACCTTGTGATAGTGTTTGATGTGTGTTTAAAAAAGACTGCTATAACAAGTAAAAGACCTAATCAACGGGTCGTGGGTTCAATCGCCACAAGGCCCGACATGTTTTTAATCAAATACGGTATGTTTACGCGAATAGTACACATTCAAATAAAACACTAACGGTTTATACCCCGGCCTCCCAGTGACCACGACAGCTGCAAAGCATCCGAAACGTAAGGCCGTAGTTAAAATAATTTTCAAATACATTTCGCGTTTTAAACCGTTAAGTGTTTTATTTAAATATTCCTAATCAATTTGTAAGTTTTCCAAAATATGTTGAACTTCGGCCCGACGTTTAGGATGCTTTGCGTTTTAAACCGTTAAAGTGTTTTATTTAAATGTGTACTACTCGCGTAGACTATGGACAGTATCTAAGAGTGTTCGCGTTTCGGCTTCAGTCTGTGGGCTTCCAAATATCCAAAGCCATAATTGGTACAGCACATCTTGATTAGACGTTATATGACTGGGATATATTACCTACCGTCAAGCGAACGCTATGCTCAATAAAAACGCTAGTTAAATGAAATAACAGATACATACCACACTGCCGCCGAGGTCGGAAAGAAAGAGATTCCAGTCGTAATTGTATTTCTCCTCGAACACTGTCACCATCATATTGTTGAAGTGTATGTATATCTGTTATGGAAAACAAAATAAACATTAAACATATATATATATATATATATATATATATTTAAATAAAATATACTTATATCACCGTTAAAATTGTAAAAAGTGTTTTATTTAAATAAATGTGGATTTCCAAATATCCAACGCTAAAATAGGTAAATCAAACCATTTTTTCGAGTCGTAAATTTTCTAAGTTTAAACCGTCAAAGTGGTTCGTTTAAATGTGTACTACTCGCGTAAACTACAGACAGTGTTTAATAATAAAACCCACCTGTGTTTGCAGGTTGGCATCGGTTGCAGTATATGACCAGGCTTTAGCTTTACTGTCCCAGAAGTAGAACTTTTGGCGGTCGGCAACGAAAGCGCTGTAGAGGAGGGACCGGCAGATACGAGGACAGCTGTCGCATTGGTGGTTCTTGTACTTGCTGAAAGTTGAAATTTTTCGTTTTATATTTTTTACTAACTGACCCGACGAACGTCCATTTGCTTTATGAAGTATTTTGACTAAATTTGATTACCATAAAAACGATTTGTACGTTTAGATAGTTGAGTTGCTGTCTTCGATAGTTTTTTTAGATCACTTAACAAAGGAACATTACATATTTATTCCCAAATCCCACAAAATGAAAAATTTTCCCCGTTTTCTCCACACTCCCCATATCTCTATATCTTCGCTCCTGTTAGTCACTGTTTTTAGCCCAAAGCTTTCCTCACACAAAGAGTTGTTCCTGAGACTAGCCCATTCAAACAAACAAAGAAACAAACTCTTCAGCTTTATAATATTAGTAAAGACTTCTTAGGGCGTACATCAAGCACATTTTTATGTCTGTTTAATAAAATTAATTTACAGGCTGATCAAAACACTGATTTTACTTTGGGACTCAAACCCCAGTGCCTTTGAAAGTCGGCATTTACAGCGCTCCGTGCTGCTCTAACAATTGAGCTACCGTGTCCTTGCTGCTCAAACAATTGAGCTACCGTGTCCGTGCTGCTCTAACAATTGAGCTACCGTGTCCGTGCTGCTCTAACAATTGAGCTACCGCGTCCGTGCTGCTCTAACAATTGAGCTACCGTGTCCGTGCTGCTTAAACAATTGAGCTACCGCGTCCGTGCTGCTCTAACAATTGAGCTACCTTCCGTCTGCTTAAACAATTGAGCTACCGTGTCCTTGCTGCTCAAACAATTGAGCTACCGTGTCCGTGCTGCTCTAACAATTGAGCTACCGTGTCCGTGCTGCTCTAACAATTGAGCTACCGCGTCCGTGCTGCTCTAACAATTGAGCTACCGTGTCCGTGCTGCTTAAACAATTGAGCTACCGTGTCCTACAGGTTATTGACGAAATTGTAAACCCATATATAATATAGTGTATTAATTTAAATAATATTTCCTCTATATTACATCTATCTTACTCTATATATGCAGCTATCAATGAACGTAAGCTTCTATAGTTGTCGCATCTCGGCAGTGTGCTATCCATCCATGGCCCTGAACAATTCGCTTCTTTGCTGACTTCATCAGAAACGTACTTGGTTGTACACTGAAATGGGAAACATTTAGTTAAGAGTTCCGAAGGACGCGAGCCCTCCAGTGGTTAAATAATTAGAAATTACAAACGATTAGTACGCAATTAAAATACTTTTAACGGTTTAAAACGCGAAATATTAGTTTAGATAAAAAATTTACGAGCCGGAACGAAAAGATTCAAGTTTTCCAAAGAAGAGTATTTGCAAATTTCAACTTATTTAACAACATGTATTTCTATAATATTTATCACATTTTTTATATAAAAATCGATTCTAGACTTATCGATTTTAGAATATTTTTACGATAAATCCATCTAAAATCGATTTGTATATAAAACATGTGAAAATATTAAACTTTTCAAAGGAAGAGGTTTTCCTATTTCTTTTTAATCTCCAAACATTAGTTAACATGGAAGTTTAAATTTCTCCTTACATAGTTAGCACTGTAATTCAACTCGTTGGTACACGGAGTCAGATCATCGCTGATCATTGCATATTCGTTGACGGTCAGTTTAACATCCAGGGTCTCCCCTGTGTTCATGTACAGGTAGTCCACCAGACCACCATTGTACACTTCTACTTCTGAAATAATCAAATTTGAATTATCAATTATCTTTAAATTATATTTAAACGGTTTAAAACACAAAGTGTATTAGAATTTTATTAACTGTCTTTTGTCGACTTGTAACAATAAAAGTCATCTACATTTAATACTACTTCCCGAATAGAGGGCGTATAACGAACGAGAAGTGTTGGCAAGATTTGCCGACACTTCTTTGCATTGATAAAAAAAAAAATTAAAAAAAATACAACAATCTAGGTATCCTAACATCGATGCATTCACATCGTGAACGTCAATATTTTTTTGTACATTTACATTTTATATAACTTTCCAAGGAAAGCGTATGACAAGGAAGGGGGACTGGCAAAAAACTCGCCGCTACTTTTGAAACCGAATCTAATCAAATTGAAAAAAACAAATATATCTAGGTAACTAACTACATTTCTGAACGTCTTTCAATTTTATTAAAAACAAAGGACAGTTAAATTACATATTTTTTTTAAATTAGACATTATATATCACATTAGAATACCAAATAAAAAGGCCTCAACAAAAACTAATTCAGTTTTCCTGTATAACCCCCCCCCCCCCGTCTCCTATCAAATTTCATAAATCTATACTAAAACAACTCAACAACATTTAGTTTTCTTTAAATTAAGGGCGAAAGACAAACGAGAAGAACTGGCAAAAAACTCGCCGCCACTTCTTATCGCCAAGTCTTTTCAAATCCACAAACCTGTGTACGGCTCTTTCTCATAATGCACGAACACATGATAGCCCGGTGGAGTGACGCTGGTGGTGGTCTTAATATCATCTCTCGTGTGCTGCAGGGTGATGGAATAACCTCGTTCCTTCGTCGCCTGCGTGTCCTTGCGACGTGGAGTAAGTGTAAAACAGCGGCCATACACGAAACCAAGGGTGGATGTTACTTCAACATCTAGTTATGAAAAATATAGAAAAAAATATAAATTGATTGATAGTATGCTGGCGATGGGGATTGAACCCAGCTGCAGCAGCCGTGGTCACGGGGGGGACTAAAGATGTAAAGAAGAAAGAAGATTCTTTCTAGGCTGTGACCACGGCACGTGCAAAGCATCCAAAACGTCTGGTCGTAGTTGAAATTAATCAGTTTAATAATACATATCACGTTTTAAACCGTTAAAAAAAACACTTAAACGGTTTAAAACACAATACTTCTAAATAAAACACTTTAACGGTTTAAAACGCGATATATTAGTTAAACTTATTTCGGGAAACGTCGGGCCGAAGTTAAAAATCATTTTCAAATAATTTTAACAAATATATCGCGTTTTAAACCGTTAAAGTGTTTTATTTATAAGTATGTATATAATATACATTTGTGTACACTCACTGTCTTTGTTGGAATCCAAACCATATTGCACGAAAAAGTCACTTTGGTTGTATGTTATCTCTTCCCAGAGATCATCCAGGGAGATTTTGGAGAAGTCGAACTCCCTCCAGGTGGAAGTGAAGCGAGGGTGTGATGATAGTCCGTACTCCTTAGAAAATACACAAGTTAAAACCATATTAAATACTGTTTATAGTTTACGCGAGTAGTACACATTTAAATAAAACACTTTAACGGTTTAAAACGCGATATATTAGTTAAAAATAATTTTCAAATAAGTTTAACTAATATATCGCGTTTTAAACCGTTAAAGTGTTTTATTTAAATAAAACCATATTATATAAAAAAATCGGAAATATGCTAGACTTTGTCTGGAAACCTGGATATTAAATGAATGGTAGTAACATCGAAATTCCATCACGAATCACCGTCCACAGATGAAAGCCGCGACATTTAATCGCGTTATAAAGCCAAAACCGACAGCGCGTCTTGTTACGTTATTTGACTGGGGCATGTCCCCCTTTTTAACTGATGGTGGCAACGCCTAATGCACGCCCACGTCGGGCAAGTGTGACGTGGGGAGTGTGGCAAATCGTATAGCCGACCAGAAGCATTAACACACCACCAGCCCTCTACGATGCTTTAAGGGAGCCCTGAGAAGGAAAGTTTACCATCAAGTCCCTCTTGTCTAGCCTCCTCTATCATACCTTACCTCGAGTTTAGCTGTCTTGTAAGGTGGTTCCCGACAAAAAGTGACGCTCGGGTAAGCGATTGTCTTGTTGAAGTCGAAGTGAGAGTGAGTCGTTATCGGAATATTTGTCAACTTTTGAATACACGAGATAACCTGTGGATAGATTAGTATTAATAAAACATTTGAAGTGTTTTTATTTATTTATTTATTATTTATTAAGCTGAAGAGTTTGTTTGAACGCGCTCAGGAACTACTTCGAATTGGAATCTTTTTGTGTTGGTTAGAGCAGTTAATGTGGAAAAAATTATCCACGTTTGAGGAGTTTAAGGTACACACAAAATATTTATGATAAAATGACCCTTAAATACTGTCTATAGTTTACGCGAGTAGTACACATTTGAATAAAACACTTTAACGGTTTAAAACGCGATACATTAGTTAAACTTATTTGAAAATGATTTCGAGTTAATTGTAAAGTGTAATTAATATGCCGCGTTTTAAACAGTTAAAGTGGTTTATTTAAAAAAGATTCTTCTTTAAATGATCTAAAAAGCAATACGCAACAGTATATATGTCGATTTTAGAACGACGGGACGCGAACGACGTCGCATGTCAAAGCTTAACGTTGAGTTGAACGGGAAGTTTTCGAAAACAAATGATGCAAAAATAAAGTCCGTCGTTTACGAAAATAAAATTGAAATAAAACATTTTCAACTGTTTAAAACTCGAAACGTCGTACAGTAGTTAAATTTATTTTAAAAAAAAACCTAACTAATAAACTTCGCGTTTAAAACCGTTAAAAGTAATTAAGTGTATCAACGCGCATACAATGAAACAACACACGTTTAACGGTTTAAAAGACGAAAAGTCGTGCTTTAGTTAAATTATATAAAAATGAAGTTAACTAATACATTTCGCGTTTTAAACGGTTAAAAGTATTTTATTTAAATTACCTGATAAACGACAATAGTGATGCAGACCAAGACGACGATAGTTTTGAAGAGGTTCGGCCCTTTGAAGCAGTCCACGCACTGTTGGCGGATACGAGCTACGTGGTCCACCTTCTCCTCCTGTAGTAGGAATTTATTTATTTTTCAATAATACCATACATGGCCCGATCATACCATAGTGATCCTTAAAGTACTAAAACATACTCGAAAAAGTTTCAAGTTATAAATATTAAAATATATAAAAGATAGTCTTGACCTCGTTCTGGTTCCCTTATTAAGTTATAGTTAACTAGCGACCCGCCCCGGCTTCGTTCGGCTGCAATGCTAATACTAAATACAGTACAGACAAAACTGTACACGTTGTATGTAAAAACCTTCCTCTTGAATCACTCTATCTATTAAAAACCGCATCGAAATCCGTTGCGTTGTTTTAAAGATTTAAGCGTACATAGAGACAGAAAAAGGCTTTTATACTATGTAGTAATAATTAGTTAAATAATGTATATCGCGTTTTAAACCGTTAAATCGCTCAGCTACGTTGGGACGACTAATCTTATACCAGAAAACTTTTAATATTTTTCATAGCATTATATAAATTAAAAATCTATTTAGATTAAAAACAAATAAGACACGGGCGGGACTCGAACCGGCCACGGTAAATACTGTCTGTAGTTTACGTGAGAAGTACACATTTAATTTAAACTTTAACGGTTTAAAACGCGAAATATATTAGTTATGTTTTTTATTATTATTGTAACTACGGTCAGAGGCTTCGGTTATTTTGCAACAGCCGTGGTCACGGGGAAAATATATTTCGCGATTTAAACCGTTAAAGTATTTTATCTAGATAAAGAACATGGTAGCTCAATCGGTTGGAGCAGCAAGCAACGCAGTGTATGTCGGTTCGAGACCCGTCCGTTATTTTTTTAACGATTTCAAATTTAAATACTGTCTATAGTTTACGCGAGTAGTACACATTTAAATAAAACACTTTAACGGTTTAAAACGCGATATATTAGTAAAACTTATTTGAAAATTATTTCTAACTTCGGCCCGACGTTTCGGATGCTTTGCAGCAGCCGTGGTCACGGGGAGACTATATAAAACTAAATAATACACTTTAACCGTTTAAAACGCGATATATTTTAGTTAAACTATTTTGAAAATTATTTTTAACTACGGCCCGACTTTTCGGATGCTTTGCAGCAGCCGTGGTCACGGTTGTATTTAAATGTGTACTACACGCGTAAACTACAAACAGTATTTAATAGTACTTACCAATTCTTCAACCTTTACAGACATTTTAGATGTCGTATGCAAAAGACAACTGTGTTACCAAAGGTAGATTTGACTTATGTGATGTATCGAACGTTATCTAAATTATCCCTCGAATAGCGTTATAAATAACTAATAGATGAGATTAACGGAAATTAAATTATAAATTACTGTCAATGTTTGACAAGTCACTAAGGGCTATTGTTTATAGGCGTTCCTACAGAAAAATTATATATACACTAACTGTGCCCGCGACTTCGTCGGCGTGGATAGTGACTAGTGGTGGAATTTTTTATTATTTATGCTGCTTATTAATTTATGTAATTGAGAATTTATCGCAGCCAATCTATGTTGTAAGTGCTACGTTGCCGCAACACGCTCACATCACTCACATCACGTAGTTGATCAGACTTCTGTGCCCTGACTGACTGAACTATTCTACGCCGACGAAGTATATTGCTAGATGAATTATTAATAAGCTGTTACATTTTTCAATTATTATAAAAAGAAAAAAACTTGAATCTAATTGAAGACAGCGTCATCAGAGAGAAATTAAGTTCGTCAACACATTTTAATTTGAATGAAACTTTCCTTTTTTACTTTAGAAAGTACTAGCGGCACGTCCCGGCTTCGCACGTGTAGACATTAATAGGTACAGATATTTAAATTATAAGCATGCTAATTAAAACGACCATGTATCACTAAATTAGAAAAAAAATGTATTGCGCGTCCTCGCTGTTAACGACCGTTGTTTATCACGCTGTGCCAGGAGCCGCTGCGAGCGTTCAGTGTTAGAGTCCCTACGAGCGCTGGGCGCTTGACTGTCATTCGTATAGAAGCATGTATTTTTATTTTTATTTCATGATATCTTTTGAATGGAATGTCCGATTTCAATAGTTTAAAAAGAAATCATCAGGTATTGAGACTTGAGTCTTAAATATTAAATTATGTATTTGGATAAAAAATTATAAATGGTATCGATAACACGGTCTGTTTTTGTTCGGCATTTCTATCAATTTGTTAAATGTAAAAAAGTAGTTATAGTGACGTAACTACAATAGTTAGACATATGGTCTCGCGATGTTTTTTTTAGATATTGATATATTTTATGGCTAATTTTATTACACCTCCCGTTGGTTTTCATAGAAATTTCTAAAGATTTCTACAGTAATCTAGTACTAAATATAGCCTATGTTACTCAGTGGTAATGTAGCTTTCTAATGAAAAAAGAATTATTAAAATCGGTCCAGTACCATCTTTCCTCTATATAATATTAGTATAGATACACTTTATAACAATTTAATTAAATACTTATAAACTTTAGGGCCGATGGTCTACAGCGCTATCTGTGGTAAATTGGATGGTTGTAAACCAAGTATTGAGACGCCCATTGTATACAGCGACATCTAGAACAAGAGATTATAACTTTTTTTTTGCAACTCGAAAGATATTTCTTTTTTTATAACTAGGTGGCGCAGTTTATGACAATCATGGCAAAGTATGTATAATATTATGTCGTGCGATGACAGGGGCTTCGTCTTCAGAGTCACTCATTTTTCACGGATCCTGGCATTATACCCTACTAAACTGTATTTTAAAATAATCGGATATTTTATCGCCGTGGTTAATACAGTCACAAATTGCTTTGAAACAGAATAATTGACATTCCTTTTAAAATCTTTGAATATTTATGTTCTATTCGATATTCTAAATTAATGAATTATATTTATCTTGTAAATAACCTCCATTTCCTTATAAGATTACAAATACAACAGATGGCGTCGCTAGCTTTGGAATTAAGCTTTGTTCATTTTTTAGAAAATTATATAGTTGTATTAATAATCTAATTTTACTCTGAATATGTTTACAACAATATCAAACTTTATTAAAACTGAAATGTTGACAAAATAGTTAATACAAATTCTTAGATATGAATTTATATACAGTTTCATTATTAAGAAAATTATTTAAACACAAAATTTAAATATTTATTTTATCGTTTATTAATTGTATAGTTATTTATTACTGATAGGTGCCAATAAATATGAGATTTTGAAGTCTCCTATAAATTTACAATTGACGATGCTAAGAATGTAACTAAGTAGGTGCGGCGAATAAGGCCTAGCTAAGCAGGAATTGAAATAAATCAAAAACTGTTAAAACAAATCAACAAATTTTAATGTAATTTAAACTTTTATATTAATAACTATCAAATAAAAACGGAAAACAGCAACCTATGCTATAATTATAGTTTTAATTACTGCTTTTAAAAAACACTGTACTTAGGCCTTATTAAACTATGGTAGTATAATAAGGCCTAAGACTTTAAACTTCAAAAATAAACGAAATAAACTTCTTATATTTAGTATTTGAGATCAATAAAATATTGTAATGCGATAATCACACAGTAAAGGCTTAAAAATAACATTATTTTTCAAATTAGGAACAATCTGGACACTCAACATCTTCGACGACTCAAAATCATCCTCTGACAAACCCACGCACTCCTCGTGGTACCACTTGCTGCATTTGTGACACATCCTCATAGCAGTCTCTTGGTCCTGGTGGCATGCGCGACAACGTTGTTCTTATTAGACAGCTCTTTGCTAACTGGTATTCCTCTGTAATTGATGGCGTTTATTCTGACTGTTGATGTCTTTTCTGTATTTTTAGCTGGTGTAGGCAGGAGTTGCTTAAATTATGTTCTTTTTACTTGAGCGAAGGGTACATTATCCTCATCATCAGAGATGGATCTACATTAAACCATTCTGTAAAACATGTTGGAGGATCTTTTTGGTATGATCATTTGTTTGTTCTTGCCTCGGTGTCGATGACTGAGGCGTCTCGGGAGCCATTTGCCTTAATGGAGTGCGAGGTGGTAAATTTTCTACATCGACAACGTCTGGAAAAGGAGCTGGTGCTTCTAATTTCTGTAATAGTAGTTCTAAAGACCTAAATTATGTAATCACTTGATAATACTTTAAGGAGGGTAATAAGGCCTAGGGTCGATTTTCATAGGCCTTATTAACCACTGACCACGTTGTCAAGAAATTTTTAAAATAAAATGATTTCGTGTAATTTACAATTTTTTCTACAGCACAGGTCTTCAAAACATTAACTAAAATGATGTAAAACTGCAAAATAACGTACGAAATTTATTTTTTTTCATAAAATATTTACGATTTGTTCGACCGTCATATTATTATTCGAGATATGCGTCCGCCGGCCACGATTAGTGACCCCACACTTTAGGAACCATGCGGGCCTGCGAGTCGCGACATGTTTGGGGCACCATCTTAGGTTGTTAGCTACCTATGACTGTGAAGTCAGCTGGCGGGGTCTACTCAAAGTTATGTTTCTAGTACTTAGGCCTTATTACCCGACAGGCCTTATTGGCCGCACCTACCTTAAGTCTTAGTGTCTACCTTAGTGTCTCGAGTAATTGTGACAATTTTTGAAAAAGTGTTTTAAATTCTTTAGCCGTGGTAATGCCTAGTCTATACTAATCTAGAAACTACATCTGTTGCGATGGATAGACGATAGATAGAGATATCGAGAAAAGCTTAAGGCTATACAACATCACATATCGGTCGCAAAACGAGGATAACATATTTACTCTTCGAGGGTTTCCGTTGCTTGCGTGAATTTTTCAATTCGATTCTTTAGCTCTTAAGGTTAGCGCGTTAACATAAACAAACTCTTCAGTTTTATAATCCTTACTAATATTATAAATGCGAAAGTAACTCTGTCTGTCTGTTACTCTTTCACGCCAAAACTACTGAACGGATTTGAATGAAATTTGGTACACATATGATTTAGATTTAGACCCTGAGAAAGAACATAGGCTTTTTATTGCGAAAAGGGGATTGTAAGGGGGGTTAAAAGGGGGGTAAAAGTTTTGGCTTTTTGGGAATAGGAATGGGGGTGGGAGTGGGAGTTAGAGTAGGAGTGATGTGAGATGAGAGTGTTGCGGCAAAATAGCACTTACAACGTAGGTTGGCTGCGATAAATGCGCAATTACATAAATTAATAGACAGCCTAAATAATTAAAAATTCTACCCCAAGTCACTATTCCACGTGAACGACGTCGCGGGCACAGCTAGTATTAGTATAAATTGCAGTTCTTAGAAGGAATGTATGAACGTGGGAATTGACAGTGAAAAGACAGTTATTTTTAATGTGTAATATCCCCTTAGCTGAACATATCACTGTTTTCGCACGATTACTTCCAAAAACCTTTGAGCCGCAAAGCCAACATAAATTGTAATAAGACAAAATAGATTTTTAAATATTTATTGTCAATAAAATTAGCACGTATTTACAAAAAAAAATGACACAATACTTGCAACTTAGCTTATAGTAATATTATCACGGGTAAGACAAATACTAAGTACAAAAACTACCAAATAATTCGTTTGACGGGTCTTTATAAATTACGTCACACGAATAGGGACGTGGAGGACAGTCAAGCACGGGGTCCACTTGATGGCGAGCGAAATACACCGGCCTATAGCCTATTTTTATCTGTGGTCTGCTCCAGATTGCCAATATGTTTCAGAAAAATTATAATTTGTTTAAAAACATGTTAGACCCGGTGACCTCTGTAGCCAAATGGTTAAACGCATTGTCTAGCGTTAATCGCGAGAGGTACTGGGTTCGAATCCCAGGGAAAGAAAAAATGTTTCGTTCGGGCGGGGCGCAGAAGTCTGATCAACTACTTGCCTGTTAAAGAATGGATCACTGAAACGAACACAGAGACGTGTTCGCCCCATGCCCCACGAGGGGGAAACGGGATTTCACATTCAGACCCGGCTGATAATCAACGGTACGACCCGTTGATTATCAGCCATACATTGCCACCACCGAGCCCGACATTCTAAATTTGAATTCCAAAAGTTTCTCTTTTTGAAAATGTGACGTCACGAAATCGTGTGACGTAATTGTGTTTTGGTCCCCGAAATCACAATAAATAAAGGGGTAACGTTTATAAACGAACAAATTATTGGCTCGGAATTATTCACACAGCCCTAAATTTTCGTATTTAATTTAAACCATATTGTTAGCACACTTACACTTATTTGCAAGAAGGATTTTTAATTTAAAAGCCGTTGGAATCATCGTTGGATTAAATAAATAAGTTGGTCTCGGTCTTATAAATAAGTTAAACTAATATATTTTCAATCCGCGTTTTAATCCGTTCAAGTGGTATATTTAAAAAGATACTAAAATAATTCTTATCGATAATTTGGCTTTAAACAGATGGTAAAAGTTGTTTGCAATTGAGTGTTGAACATAGCAGTAACTTTAAAAGTCTTTACTATACAACATATCATACATAGGACAATTTTGTATGTCCGGTCCTAGAACTCTTCACAATTTAATCTTTGTTTACGAACTCTAATGTTGGAAACTTTCAATTAATAATCTATAGCAGTGTTGGCGTTAGGCTAGTGACATCCTGGAATATGTATATGCATGCGTGTGTATGTACATGTGTAAGTGTTTGCATGAGTGTGTGTGTGTGTGTGTGTATGTGCATGGGTGTAAATGTTCATGAGTGTGTGCACGCTTGTGTGTATGAGGGTATGTCCCCCCCCCTACTTATTTGGTACCCTGAGCCGACACTGAACCCAACGCCTTTTCTGTACACTGTGTGTTGACATTTTTATTTTAAAATATTTATTCCGGTCGGTTTCCTTCTATGTTTTTATGATAGAGGCAAGTAGAAAGCACGCAATTCACTTAATGGTAGGGGAAACACTCGAGCCATATAAAATTAAAAAAAACTGTGGACGTGGACGGTGATTCGTAACCAGACGGTATTTCGATATTCCTCGAACCACCAACGAAGCTCAAGAAGCTTCAGAGTCCCTCGACCCATTGATTATTAGCCACAGCATCACACCAACGCGCCCGTCCAATGTCCTATTGTACACTTCAGCCAACGCGTTTCATAAACTTGTTAGTAATTCTTCTGTCAATGAAGTTATCAATAAACCGAAACAAAACACAACAAACTAATAATAACGACCAGAGCTAAACAGCTCGAAGGCATTACAGCACCAGATGGCGCCACCTTTGCTGCTATCTCGTTGCTGACATTCTTAATCTTATTAACAAACTTATCTAGGATATCAGACCTGCGCGTGACATCGCAAGCCGTGTGACTGATCGCATTCAGAACTGGCGCTGAAAACACCCTAAAGTTCACCTCGCTAGGATCCAGTTTCCCGTACATCCAAATTGGCATCCTATTCGACAGGATCCACAAATTCTCATCGTAATCAACTTTTATATCGGTCGGGTATATCATCTTGACGTCATCCATGTATATTCTACCCTGGTTCTTCATTATGTACTCTTTGTTGGTCGTCCTCCAACACGCTACAGCGTTCAGATTGACCAGGGAGTAAAAAAGGACACCTGTTTTTGGATCGATGAAGGAAGCGCTGGATTGTGCGTTTGGACCTCGACTGCCGAGCAATTTGAAGGCGTTAAAATTAGCATCAGCTATCGACTGGTTTCTTAAATACTCTGTGGAGACGGCGAACTCGTTGTAACTTGCCATTGGGTGGAAGTAGAGGGTGCTGAAGTTGTCAGCGTTGGGCGCTGATAAACTGAGTCCGAAGATGGCGTCCGTCCAGCTGAAATTATGGCCCTTTACGCTGAAGTCGCACGCGGTAGGGTCAGGATGGAAGTAGTGGTGGGTGATCCTCCAGGTCTCGTTCTTCTTCCACGAATAAACCACGATGCCAGCTTTACCCAAATCACCTGAATACGCGTATGTGTCCTCGCAATCAGTGTCTTCTACAGCTATGTTTGCGAAGCCCGAATCTTCCTTAACCTGATCATCAGGGAATGAGTATTTCCTCAGAAGGTTGTCATTCAGGAGGTCGTAGATCAGCAGCGCCGGTGGGTACTTGACTGTGTCGTTCTCCAGACTACCAATTTTGCCGTTATCCAAGACCCAAAGCCGGTTGCATTTGTCAGCTCTTACTCTGAATGGAGATACGATTTCTGGCTTGCCTTTCAACAAGTCATGCGCTTCCCAGTTGGGGTAAGGGATCAATACTGGAGAGTTTGTCGAGTTATCTGAAATGAGAATAAAATATTGTTTTAGTGTATGTTGTGTTTAAAACGCGATTTATATTATTTAGAATGATTTGATTTTTAGAATTATTTTAACTACGGCCCGACATTTCATTTACACTATATACATTTTATATTGTGTATTTTCTATAAGAATAAATTGTTATTCCGTATTAATTTTTAGTTTACACGAGTGGTGTCGATTTAGTTTAAATGTCCAAATTAGACACTTTTAACTGTTTTAAACGCGAAGTATTATTTATATCAGTAAACAATCTGACGTGTCAAATGCTTTACAAGAGCCGTCATGGTATACGAATGTAGTTCAAATAAAAATTTCGTTTGGGTAGCACGCAAAAGAGACATCAATTGTTATTGAGAATAAAACAGACACAGAAATGTGTCCGTAATTGGGGAGACGGAACCCATTATACCGTAAAATATTTTAATTACATTATGTTCTAAGAAATGCAAATAAATATGGCATAATATATATAAACACATTACGTTACATCATTAAACAAGTTATTAATGATTTAATGATATAAAACTAGTTTTCAGAATAAAGAAAAGATTAGCTATTCATTACAATTATGCAATATTAAATATCTATCCTCGTTTTAAGAAATGACAAACATGTTGTGTCCGACCCGACCGAAAAAGGCTTAACGTCCAAATATTGTTACCGTTTCACTAATTTAAATTAACATATAAAAGCTGATAAAACTTCTGTGCCCTGCCCGATCGAAAAAATAAATTTACCCGAGATTGCATTAAACTCACACATTTTACCTAAGCAATAAAAAAGTGTCTGCGCTGTTAAAACAGTGGTTTTTCCATGCCCACGCGCATATAGCCTAGATACAACTTACCTTTTAAGTCTATATAGGTAAGCGAGGCAGGTACTCCGTTTCGCCACCGTGGCACTGTGATGAACAGCTTCTGTCCATGGACCTCAAGACCCATGGGGATGGTATTCCCCGGAACGAACGCACCAGAATCCAGGGCGGCCTGTCTCGCTTCAGGAGTGGGATACGCGAAGTCCAGCTCCTTCCATTCGTATATGATGTCCAGCTGTTCCATGCAAGTGCCGATGTAGATGGCTTGCAGGATTACCAGGGTCTTCAGCAGCCCCATTGTGGAGCTGGAAGGTGAGAATTATTATTTTGAATAAATGTTGATAGACATCTACCTATACAAATGCGCTGTCCGCCTATTTTGATATTCGAAACGCGCTTTAACTTCACGGCGATATAAATGATGTGTTGTGTAAGTATATAAATTTTAGAATTTTCTTAATATTTGGAATTCAAGAACAGTAATTAGGACACATTCCTTCCTTCAATTAAAAGTATTCTTAGTCCCGTTTAACATTTATTTCTACTTTTATTTTCTTTTTTGAATAAAACACTTGTGACGGTTGAAATCGCGAAATGTATGAGTTGAACTTATTTACAATTTTTTACTACGGCCGGCGTTTCGGATGCTGTGAAGCATCCGTGGTAATGGGGGAATAATAACTGACACGCTAGCGCTGTCTGTTGTTATTTTGCGTTTAGTTTCTTCGTCTGCTTAACGAAGTTGAGCATGTTGAGTTGAGATGTGTACTACTTGCGTAAACTATGGACATACTTAATTATTTCCAAATTTTTTAAATATTCATTGTGAATTATTCACCTTTGAGAGTTACAGTGGCCTGGCTATGTAAACGGTTTAAAATACCAAAAACATATTTATGAAAGCGATACGCGGTCGAAGCCGGTGACAAAGCTAGTCTCTAATAAAAATATAATGTCGGAAAGCACGTGATTGGTTCTGAAAGTAAAACGAGAGCCGGTTTTAGATGTTGGGTTAGTGACCTTGGAGGTGCGAATTCAAGGTCATGCGCCCACAACACATACAGGCGTGTCACACACAAACACACACAGTGTTCATTTGCATACCGGCAACACACTGTCTATAAACGGTCGAAGGATTGCGTCCTTTGCTCCCTAACAACACTTTATACTAGCTGTGCCAGCGACTTCGTCCGCGTAGAATAGTTATTTTGGGCAGCAAAATTAGTTTTTGCAAACCGCCGTTCTTGCGAGTTAATCTTAAGAGATACATAAACACACTAATATTATACAGCTGAAGAGTTTGTTTGAACGCGCTAATCGCAGGCATCGGTTCAAATTGAGAAATTACTTTGAAGCATTTATCAAGGATGGCTATAAAATGTCAGGCTGCGACCAATAGACGCGAAGATAGAGGGAAATGTGGGAACAACGCTTGCGCTGCGAAAACGGTTTAACAAACCAAAAAATCTGTAAGCAATCGCTCTTCTGTAAGTGTTCTCAAATGAGATAAGGTTAACCCGCAAGAACGATGGGACACGATCGACGTGGTGGGTGACAGCTATGATTTTTAGAGTTGGTTTAGAGGTTGTAATATCTTCGGAAATATGATAATATTTCTATGTTCTATAAAGCCGCTTCGTAAAATAAAATATACTGTATTCTCTGTAAAATTTTAAATATTATTCAGATTCGTCAAAAAAGTATTAAATAATATGTTTGCCTGTCCGTTCGTCGTGATTCTACAGAGTGTTCAAAAGAACAACGTAGCCGAGAAGAACACCCAAGGAACTCGGTCTGGCTTTTTCCAACATGTCTTTCAAATTAATGCATTTTTTTTTTAATTTAACGACCTAAGGAGCAATTCATGTTACTGCTTCATAGATTTTTTTAGGTGTACAATACTGTACATTATTTTGATTTACCTCGTTTACCAGTGTTTGCAATGTAAGCGCACAGAAATGTGTTAATTTACGACATCATATTAAACTTCTAAATTTATGAGTGTTTCTCTAAAATGTACATATTATATACTGTCTATAGTGTACGCGAGTAGTACACATTTAAATAAAACACTTTAACGGTTTAAAACTCGATATATATCCGAAACGTCGGCCCGAAGATGAAAACCATTTGCAAATAAGTTTAACTAATATATCGCGTTTTAAACCGTTAAAGTGTTTTATTTAAATGTACATATTATACAAATAAACCTTTCTCTCTAAACCACCTATATCTATTAAAAAAGACTGCGACAGGCACTTTCTTATAAATTATGTAGTGACGAGACATTATTTTACAAATCACTTGATAGTGGGTGAAGTACGCCAGCCGTGTAGGTACCATCGAACCGGACCGCACTTAATATAAAGTAACTAATTGAATTATATTTCGCTTTTTGAAGCGTTAGAAATGTTCTATTTAAACGTGGACCAGCATACCTACTCTAACTTTTGTTTTCGAAGTTATACCGTACCGATTTTTGTAACTAACAGCAAAGCCATCTAACGTAAAAGCTGTGAAATATCCATAAAGATATGAAATTTAACGATCGTTACAAAAGTTTCAAGTGTTAGTGCCGTAAACGTAACCCACTTTCCAGCTTCGATATTTCTTCTAGCTCGTATGTGACAATATACTGTAAGATTACAATCCACTGACTGCTATAGTATTACATTATTTCGACATCCTTATCTGTCGTGTTTAGGCCAAATCAATTTAAAAATGGAAGTATCTTCGACTCCGCAAGATGGCGACCAAGGAGGTAACTTAACAAAGGTTTAAATTAAATTTCGAACTTGCTGGCAAATAGAAAAAACATACTTTAGCGCGTAAAAAAGCTATTGTTTTATTAATTGTTTGTCAACTTTGTTTGGCATTGTACTACTTAATTTTAATTGATTACTTATATTCACATAATTCCCCTCTTGCCGGCCGCTGCAATTATACTAATACTAGCTGAGCCGGCAAACGTTGTTTTGCCAGATAAATAATTTTACTAAAATGTCTATTAAAAAATAAGGATTGATCGTTTGTTGTATCATAAAAAAATTAAAAATTTTGTCTAAAATAAACAAAAAATTAAGGGTGAACCACCCTTATCACTTAGGGGGATGAAAAATAGATGTTGTCCTATTCTCAGACCTACTGAATACACATATCAAAATTGGTGAAAATCGGTCGAGCCGTTTCGGAGGAGTTCAAGTTCGAACACCGTGACAGATAAATTTAGATCAATAACGTATGACTAATAATCATATATGGTTTAATACGAATGTCCAAAGCCAAAATGGCTGTGGTATTTTCTAAAACTTGGGGCTATTTTGTGCATAACAATATTTCTGAAATTGTTATTATTATTATTATTATTGAACTCGAAGTTTGTAACGCTTTTCAGCGATTGTGGTTCGTCGATAGTCGCATGTGTGGGTCTTATACCTTCTACTTTAATCGACTTTGCTTACATCCAGTCCCTATGTGAATGTAGTGTAAATAAAGTGAAGAAACTTTATCTTTTAAATAAAACACTTTAACGGTTTAAAACGCGATATATTAGTTAAACTGTGGTCACGGGGAGACTGATGGGGAGTCTCCCCGTGACCACGGCTGCTGCAAAGCATCCGAAACGTCGGGCCGAAGTTAAAAATCATTTTCAAATAAGTTTAACTAATATATCGCGTTTTCAACCGTTAAAGTGTTTTATTTAAATGTGTACTACTCGCGTAAACTATAGACAGTATTTAAACTTTATCTTCTCCATTTACGTAAATTGATTTTTAGGATTTTTACTAATTTTAGCGTGAAATTGAAGTTTTAACTAAGTAATTTTAAGGTAGTCCATTGAATTAATATATAATCCAGCGTCTCGAAGTATTTTTTAGTGTAAATCAATGTAAACCTCGTGAGAAAATCACGATTTCCTGTAAATCGTGTGTTTGTACCACAAATGCCATTAGGAGAAATACACTATTACGCGCTCGTACATCGCTTAGCTTCAACTGCCCGCTATCTTTAGGTACGCAGATTTACATAACAATTTAGTTATTTACTAGCGTATTCGTGAACGACGCCGAGTGGGGGAGTGTGTGCATATTATGTTATTAAAATGGGTGCGGTGGCCCCGGCTGGTACGTGCCCCCACACAAGGTCTTTCCTTTCTAATCCAAATCATATTATATCATTGGTACGGAGAATAAATAACATTCAATGATTTTTTCTGAACTTCGGAAATCGTTTTTGCGAGATTCATATCAACTCGGCTGCCGGTTATAAACTAGTTGTGGATATAACTTTGTCCGCGTTGGATAGTAATTTTGGACATCAAAATTGTTAAATACTGTCTATAGTTTACGCGAGTAGTACACATTTAAATAAAACACTTTTACGGTTTAAAACGCGATATATTAGTTAAACTTATTGGAAAATGTTTTTGAATTTTTATCTTCGGCCAACGTTTCGGATGCTTTGCAGCAGCCGTGGTCACGGGGAGACAGTCACAGGGGAGTCTCCCCTTGACCACGGCAATATATCGCGTTTTAAACCGTTAAGTCTTTTATTTAAATCAAAATTGTTTACTTCCTCACGCTTATAAATTTTAGCCGTTGTACCGTCCGCGTCCCGTCGTTCTTGCAAGTTAATCTTAAAAGATAGACATATACTGTCGCGAACATTTTTTAGATCGCTTAAAGACGAATCATTCTTTCATATATATGTTTGCGTATCTTGAACCGTTAACGTAGAACGGAAACCCTCAAAGTAGAATAATTTTCCCCATTTTTTTTTCATCGTGTATTAGGCACATCGCGATGTGTAACCTTCCTCGATAAATGCTCTAAGCAACACAAAAGTAAATTTTCAATTCGAACCAGTAGTTACTGAGATTAGCGCGTTCAAACAAACAAACAAACACACCAGCTTTTTGTATAGATTGCCAAGTTTTAGGGCAAACTGCGTTGACCTTTATATGCCTTTGCTGATAAGCTACAACAGACAATGAACTGCACGAGAAATGTATATAAAGAAGCTTTATAATCAATACGTGATGTTATGTATGTATACCAATATATAAAGCTGAAGAGTTTGTTTGTTTGAACGTTCATATCTTAGGAACTACTGGTTCGAATTGAAAAATTATATATAGGAAGGTTACATATTATAGGCTATAAAGCATTGCGCTGCGACCAATAGAAGTGGAAAATGTGGGGAAAACAGGGGAAAAATCATCTTCGAGGGCGTCCGTTGCGTACACTGCGAAAACGATTTAAGAAATCAATAAATTATGTACAAAAGAAGATGACGTCG